ATCCGACCCTATAATAAGATTGTACTCGTTCCGGGGAAAAGCATACGTGCTTTCCTCAAACAGTGACGTCATCGACGGTTACTGGTAAACGGAGCAGTGGGAACTCTATACGAACGGGAAACGCTGGGTACCCGTGCTATATACGCACTTCGTCAGGTTTCTCAGTACAGGAGCTGTCATACGTTTCTCTCTCTCTCTCTCTCTTCGTGAGTACGAGGTTGGTCATTAAGAACATAGGCGTTAGCGGGGTGGGGCAGCGGGGGGGGGGGGGGGGGGTCAGCCGCTTCTCCTATTCATAGAATGTAAGGGTGCAATGTCAGCCCCATATGTTGGCGTAATAGGGTGGGAAGGAGCGCTGTGACTCGTGGGGGGGGGGCATAAAATCAGCTCCATGCATTCATATATTAGGGAGAAGAACGCTTCGAATACCCCCCCCCCCCTCCCTGAAAGGTAACCCTACGCTAGTGGTACCCGCCGATTTTTTTTTTTTTTTGCCATGCTATACAGAGAGAGCAAAAAATGACCATTTCAAGGAGGTGCACCCTCCGAAATCAAAAAGGTTCCGCCCTTCCCTCTTCCGAAAAAAAAAACAAAAAACAAAACGATTCTGGCTACGACTCTGCACTGCACACGCTTATTGTGAATGAAGAAGTCACAAGTATATTTTTTGTTGCTGCTGTTGTGGAGTGCCTATCCTGACAAACTGCTCATTGCGGACATTGCGGAGTACTGATATCACAGCAATATTCAATGATCTTTCCTAGGGATCTGTCACCATCAGTGTCGTTTTCTGTGTTTACTTATCGGCAAAGAAAGAAAGTACTGAAATCGGATTCAAACCAAGAACTGCATTCTAACGAGTTCTAAAAGCTTTCACCGAGTCAAAAGTGAACCCGAGTAAGAAGAGACGTACATTCGACGAAAGGCGTGACGTCATGTTGTTGCGCACGCAATGAGATTTCGGTGCGAACTTTGTCTCGAGTATAAGTGAATTTCCGGCCACCCTTTGCGTCTCCCCTTTAGCCGTGCGCGCTTCTCCCGTTCAGACGGGCTTGTAAGAAACGTAGTGAAGCCACCGAACGATAAAACGGATCAAAAGAGAACACGTGCTGGTAGACGCCGAATTAACTGTGGCCTGCGTCTGCTTACACTCGCTTCATTTCGCCACTGTACCACCTATAGATACGTACAGGGCTGGTCAAAAGTTCCCAGACCACTATCCCATGTATTCCTACGGAAGCATGGCCTGGGAACGTTTGACGCTACCTGTACCAACTGGTTTGCATTCAGACGCTGTTAAGGTTAAGCATAGCTTGTTGATTCCGTAACTCTCTGGCTTAACACACGCGAAGTCCAGAGAGAGGAAATGACTTTCATTTCGACAGTGTTAGAAGGCGGATGCGGCCAGTTTGCACTCCACGAATGGACTCCCGAGACTTCGGAAAGTTGCTAAAAGAAGCACCGCTCCTGATAGCCGCGTCACGTATACGACCAAGCTTAAGGTTTACGAAAGGATACGGGCGAACCAAATGAACTGAGAAGGTCGCGGCATGCTTTGTTATACGTTTCTTTTTCTCAACTCACGTCCACGAAACAATGAGTTCTCGGCGATTGAACTGAGATTTCAAGTCTCGTTCAACGAGAGTCATTATCCGATCTATGTCTGAACTAATATGAAAGGTTCGTTGCGAAAGAACCTTAACAAAACAGTCGATAAGCAGAACAAATGATGAATCCCGCGCTCGAGCGCTTGCTTCCACTGATCTCGAGTTATAAGTGAAGCGAAACGACCCCGAAATCGCACCGCGGTTGCTAAATCGGTCACTCGGGCAACCTGCCAAACGCCTCTTTTGATCCCCCCGAAAACAAAACACAAAAATAACAACACTCGGCGAGCTATCGAAGTGCGTGAAAACCCAGGAAACGCCACACCGTATAGACGTATATAGCACGGAGTATCCGTAAAAACGTACATCCGTGACGAAAACAAACAAAACTGTTGTCGTTCTAACGACGTGTGTGCCTTCGGCTATCAGTTGGAGAACTGATCCCTTTAATTACCTCGAAGGATGCATTTAGAAGGGCTTTCAAGGACGGCAAGAGAGATTGAGATCCATCTGAAGCGATTTGAGAGAAATATAAATTTGATCGCCGAACTGGGAACAGGGTCCCTCACGGAACTTATGAGTTTACACGTAAAGCTGTCCACTGCTGGCGATGGCTTGTGACGCAGGTCCCTCATCACTTATCCACCCCACTGACCCCCTCTTCACTCTACGTCCGGATGGAAAACGAAACAGTAAAGACACTTGGTCAGCATATCTATGTACAGACTTTGTTTGCTGGACTACCGCCAGCTGACAGTAAACAAATTTGAAAGGCACTGGAGTGTACCCGGACCTGAACCCAAGCCGCTATGCGGTCGTTGCTGCGGTTTCTTCGAGAAAAAGGACGAAACGACACGTCCCAACAGTTCAGTGCATGGCTGCGCTGATAGAGTTTCTTTTTGACAGTGCGATTGCCATGAGTTTGTAGTGCCGTTATAGACTGTATTTTGCACTTTGATACTTTTGCACCCTTTTTTCCCACTTCTCAAATACGCGGTAGCGAACCGGATATTTCCCCTGGTTAACATTTTCTCTCTCTCTCTCTCTCTCTCTCCAGTTTAGTTGCAATACAGCCCATCCAAACGACGGAACGCGACAACAAAAGAAAGAGAAACAGGAAAAAAAGATAGATAGATAGATAGATAGATAGATACGCGACAAAAAAAGAAAAAAAAACAGAAAAAGAAAACGATAGATAGATAGATAAATAGATAGATAGATAGATAGATAGATAGATAGATAGATAGAGATAGAGATAGATAGATAGATAGATATAGATAGATAGATAGATAGATAGATAGATAATAGATAGATAGATAGATAGATAGATAGATGATAGATAGATAGATAGATAGATAGATAGATAGATAGATAGATAGATAGAAAAAAGAGGGCATTTGCGATACCTTTAAAGCTGTCTTTGCCGCGGCACTGCAAAGCAACGCAGTGAAGTCAAACTGAAGCTACGCAGGCGACGAGTTTTGCGAGTTGACTTTTGTTTCCCTGGCGCGCGCCAATTATATCGAGCCACGACTAGACACCGAACAAGGAACAAATATCTTCCGACAGTTACCCAACTATGTTGAAAAAAAAAACTAATTTCGCAATACGATTCCCTTTCATTCACGAACATTCTTCAAGGCTCGGCGGAAACACCCGAGTGTATTATGCGGTAAGTATGCGACTAAATTACTACGGCGGCTTACAACTGAGCCTCTTTGTAGTGTTTCCAGAAGTGAGCACTTTTGCTATATTTAGTATGGGACATTCGCGATGCTCCGGTTTAGAAGAGAAGCGCAAATGCAGACAACACACCCTGTAAACAGAACACGAGAAAAATGACTACACAGAACAAAACTTGGAGATTGTATTGAGGACACAAGTTTAGAACAGCCATACAATGCCAATATATGTGAAGCCAGAGAGTGCACAGGAAGATTTATTTGTTGCTGGTGAAGGAAGTGCAGCACTGATCGCACACAAGTACGCGCCATACCGGCAGGAAGAACAACTCAGAGTATCATAACGAGACGTAGGAAATTAATTTTGAGCCTCGTATTACTTAGTTTGTCAATTAGGATAATGTTGCAAAATGGATAATAATTTATTAAAGAGCAGTTACATTTCAACAACTGCTTTCAACCGCTTCGGTATGGCTGTTGGCCAACTCTAGAGGTCTCTATCGTACGAAGCCATAGGAAAGTTTCCGCGAAAACTTTCTATTAGAGACGAAACTCGAGAAACCATTCGTTGCAACCTCGTAAAATCTCGTTCCGCAAAGCGGCCGTCGGTCCGCGCCACGCGTTGCGCTCATTCGCGTGCGTCACTCGCGCGTCACTCGCGCGTCACACAGTGCACCAGGACCCGTTGTCCTGGCAACCGTAAAATTGCCGTCGAACGTTCGCGCAATGCTCGGCTGACCCCAGAAAAATGTCAACCTACACGTGGCTGGTAGAATGGTCTTCTTCCGCGACCTTTCGGTGGCATCCCAGTCAGCCACAATGTGTCGTCGAGTGTAGATATCCTCACGGCTCGATTTCATTCGACAGCTGGAACACCACGAGCCTTCTGGAGATAGTCATCACGCCTCCGACGGAATTTACGTTCCGCAAATGAACGACGGGCGTAATCGAACGCGGCGTATGCAGGAAATACGATGAGTAGGGGGGGCTCTATGCCCATTACATACGTTGAGCACTGAATGGGCGCGTCGCAACAGGTCGAAGCAGCGGTGGTGGAGTGACGTTCTTCGGGTAGGGAAAGGGAAGGTTGATTGCAAGCGTGCGCGGTTGCAGAGCGCCGCGCGCACTTTGAAACAATCAACGTCGGACGCTGTGATCGCGACCCTGGGCGAAAAAGAGAACCGATTGTCTCAACTGTCCATTCGTTGTTGTTTTGTACGACCTCTCTAATTTCCCGGTACTTCTCTCCCTCCCTCCCTATTTCTCTCTGTGTTTGTCCTTTAGAGGTCCGCATACCTTCTTTTCGTCACCTAAACGGAGAGTTAACGCACAAGAAAAGAAGGGGGAGGGGGGAATGCAAAACGAAGTAGATAAGTGGAGAAGGAAACGGAAAAGTTTACACGTCACTCGCGACCGGCCAATGGTGGCGACGTTTCTCTTGCACTCCGCATGACGTCTGCACTCCGCGTGAAGAAACATGCAGCGCAGACGAAACGCCCGTTGTGCGGCAGATAGAGAGAGAGAGAGAGAGAGAGAGAGAGAGAGAGAGAGAGCAAAGTGGGAAGGAAGCGTTGCTCCTCGTCGTGTGGGAGGGGGGTGGCAAGAGGGGGGGGGGGGCGTCGCACAGATCGGCGGCCGCGGTGACGAGAGTTAAGGGGAGAGGATAAGAGCCCGCCTCGCCTACACCTGAAAACTTCTCGTCTCGGCACGTGCCAAAGTCGTCTCGCGCCTCGTCCCGTCCGAGCACGCACGCGGGACGCAGCAGCCAACGCGCCGACAGGTAGCAGAGACCGGTCCCGGAGTACGGCACAAGAAGTGGCCGGCGGCCGGCCGGCCTCCTTCAGCACGACGCCCCGAACCACCGGCGATCCTTCGGAAGCGACACAGCCGTGGACTAAAGCTGGAGCCGGGACAGTGAGCGAGCGTCTGCAACTCCCAGACCGTTACACGATGTACCGCTGCTGAAGAGCAGCGTTGTCAGCTTGTCCCCGGCGCCAGCAGCAACCTCTGTCAAGAAGAGATGCCCGAGGCGCCGGCGCCGTGTTCTGTGCCGTCTGTGCGCGTCGTAGAGAAGAGGTGCGACTGCGAGACGGGTCATCATCGTCCAGCTGGTTCTCAGGACGTTCCCTTTGACTTCTAGGCGAGCAGCTTTCGAACAAAAAGAAAGCGTTGCGAGTGGGACAACGGGCGATGTGTGTTGAGGGAAACGCGACCTTAAGGCACCGCGACAACGCCGTCTGCAGAGCGCTTCCTTTGGTCGTCACCATCGCAACAGCTGGTAATCGTCGCCACACTAGTCACCCTTGTGAAAGAATAGCAACCGTGTCGCTTCTGTGCGAGAACAGCGGCAGTGTAGGTCCCTCGTTCCGTTTGGCATCGTCTTCGCACAGTCGACGACGACGACTGGCTGTTGAGTGTCTGTGGGCGGGCGACCTTATCCTTTGGTGACGTGGATTCCACTGCTGTTCTGTTACGTCTGTGCCGAGTTTAGTGAAGGGCCGGTGAACGCGAGTGCGCGTGTCTCTGTGTGTGGAATACTCGACGAAAGTTAAGCGATTGTTCACATTTCGTGCCAAAACGACACGCTTAAATTTAGAGTGTGCAGGAACATTGTACCTGGACTTTCCTTCCAGAAGGCGGTCCAGCTGAGCTCGCATGTAACGGTTGCGCTAGTACGGGTGACCGGCGTTGGAATCCCGCTAGTTGCGACCCTAGAACTCCTCCTTTCAAGAAAGCGCAAGTGGAAAAGCGACAACCTGCGCCTAACGGAAAGTTGCCAGCAAGGTTTACAGCAGTGACGTGCGTCGCAGACTAGACGGTAAGTCGACGCGGAGGGAAAAAAAAAGTCTCAGTCTACCTGCCATTGACGACGTTCGCACTTTCTCCGGGAAACGACGACAGCGCTGAAATTTAAGGCACGATTTGTGAATTGACCGTACAAAACGGACAGTCGATATATATTTTTATTTCTGGGGCTTTCGTTGAAAGTCGGAGTGTGTGACAGTGAGTGTATCTCGGATACTTCGAGGAAATTGAGCACCATCGAAGACCGCCACGTGCCCCGGTGACGTCATATTCTGCGGACACAAGGATACTACTCCTTCGAAAAAGGCACAATCAGTGCGTTCGGCTGAGGACTACCGCACCACGACACACGGGATTCGAAAGTTTTTTTCCCGTGGACCTATTCATCCGCCAGTACATTCGCCTACCGAGGATTCCAGTGGATCGCTTTGGAAGGTTGTTTCATGCAGGTAACGCAGCCTCACTGGTGAACAAGGAACCATCATTTACAAGCGCGGAGCTAAGAGCCGGTGGCAAAGCAAGAGAGAGACATGCGCAGTCGGCCGGAGGCGCGCAACTCTGCCTGATCGCGTCCATGCTGTGCCCCGTCCTGGCGGTGTCGTGGGCGCTGCTGGTGGCGGCGGTGCTTCCTCCCGCTTGCCGGGCCAGGGCCGTCGCGGGAGGAGGCGACGACCCGGAGCGCGCCCGCGCCATCGAACTCATCAAGGGCCGCATACTGGCCGACCTGGGACTGTCCAGAGCGCCCACGGGCCACGGCCGCGGGGCCTCGGACAGCCTGCACATGGAGCACATGATGCGAGTCTACCGGCGCAGCCTCCACCGGCCGCCCGAGGACGGTGGACGGAGGCGAGCTAGGAAAGGACTCTCCCGTGGAGCCGCCAAGGAGGTCACGCACTACTACAGCTTTAAGAGCGAAGGTGAGTCTGCACCAAAGTTTTGTTGAAGTCGGGCGTGTGAACTTCTGACAGCGGAGTTTAAGCTCGCCGTTTTGTCGTTATCATGATGAAACTTTTATGATGACGAACGGCTTGTTCTTGTCAAGCGCTTGCGACGGTGTATACTATTTTGCGGGTGGGCTTGAGTACCGCCATACTGAGCTTTTAATCTCATTGTTTCGCATTTTCAACAAGTAAATGAAAATTGTTACAGTAGACGCATACGCCTGAAAATGGTTGGTGCACAACCACGTTTCACGGCCTTATGATCCACTTCGAGACATAGGTAGGGTGGCTAGCCACCCTAACATAGGTACATAAACGAGAAAGCATTGGCTTACACAGCCCAATGTGGCAGCGCCCAGGTGTCTTACGGGAAGTATAGTCTACGTAGCTCGGCCGGTGCGCCTTCTTCTGCTTCTCTCCCCGAACACGTGCGCCCGACGTTCTCCGTCCCGCTGGGTCGATTTCTCCGGCGTGGCGTGCCATAACGCGGATGGGCATGAGAACGCGTACAGAGAGAAAGAAAGAGATGAAAAGAAAGGGGGAATCAGATAGACAGAAAGAGACACAAAAAGAAATAGCTAGAACGGAGAGTCAGAAAGAAAGAGAAGTAAGGAGAGACAAACAGAGAGAGTGTCACGTGGTACGGGATCGTTGCACAACGATGAATGATGACCTGTGTACGATCGCATGCTAAACTAAGGTATTAATGGGCACATAAACTATTCCGAGTTCATAAACGAGAGAGTGGTTTCTCTCTCGCCTTCACTGCCCGTCCAAGAGGTGATATCTTCTACTGGCCGCTTAAATGTTAAAATAAGGCCTACGATATAGGCACTAAGCACTGAGCCCATCAGGATTCGTGCTCTTCGGCGACAGGTTGTTACCTCCGTTTGCGCAGTCAGATTCGCACAGGAAGTGAAGTCATCCGGTCACTCGGGATAGCGATGCGAGACGAGGGAGAACGGCTGTGGCCCACTGCAGGGCCAATCAGGGTCAGAGGACAATTCGCCACTGGACCAATCGACAGTGTGCGCATCAATTACGTCACCTGAGTGAGACACCATTTCTGGTGTCGAGAAATGGAGAAACACTCGGAGAAAATGACGCGCTTGTTGTTTTCTTGTTGGTTTTTCTTCGTGTTTTTGGAGGCTTTTAGGGACCCTTCAAACCTGCTGGCCGTCGCTAAGGATGAACGAAAGACCTGTCAGAAGTAATGTAAAGAGCGGTCATGGGCTTTAACGCCCCAAAACCACTATAGTATTACGAGACGGCGCGTAGTCGAGGGCTCCGGAAATTTCAACCACCCATGGGGTTCTTTAACGTGCCTCTAAATCGAAGTAAATGGACCTTCAAAACATTTCCGCCTCCATAGAAAATTCAACAACGCAACCGGGATTCGATCCCGCGACCTTCAGGTTAGCAGTCGAGTGTCATAACCACTAGACCACCGCGGCGGGACAGGTAATATATAGATAATAATATAACTACTCCTATTTCGAGGAGTTGTCGAGCGCATGGCGGCAGCAGACTGCGAACTATAGGTACAGCAACGTCATCGACTATATAATCCGGCTTTAAGGCTCTTCTGATCGGCTATGCTACATAAAGTATTTTTGTTACCTTGAAAAAAAGTACAAATCCTACTCACAAGACGAAAGAAATGCTAGAATTTGTCACTCCATCATTCCACGACCTTCTAGTTTCTACCAGGATCTAATTACATGTTCTGGCCAGTTGTCAGTCCCATTTAAAATGTGGCATGTACAGTCTAGCACTAAACGCATCTTTTTTTTTATTTTTCGACCCCAAAGAAGCATCCGCGAATGAATCCTCAATGTCAAACGATCGAAGCGGAAAATGTGGGAAGGAATTTTTGTCTTCGCGCGAGGGTTGCGTCGTGACTCGATATGTTATACGGCGTCCATCGACAGAAGGCCGCTGCGGGTCAGTGCCGACGTCTCCCCGCTGGGTTCCTCCATTGCAATAAGAAAATTTTCCTTCGCGTATAGCACTTTCTCTCTCGGTGCCGGACGGTACCACCGATTGCACTATCTGAGAATCGGAACAAAAGTAAGACGCATCTAAGCCAAGGGGGAAAAAAAAAGCCTGCAGAGGGGACAGACATTGCGTGTTCCGAGAGAGACTTCTATGGTGCCAAGCCTGCAACCGTGAATGCATGGAAGGCTGTTTCTGCTTCACTAAGGCCGTCGGCTATTTGCTGGTCTAACTGTTGCCTGTGATACGGAGCTTCAGGTTCGATGCTTGCCAGTTACCTGTTGTCTTTTTGTCCACTTCACTTTATTCACATATATATCAAAATTACCGCAATACACTTTCGTATCGGCCGGTTTTCGTTAAGTTTGCGACAAAGGAACCGGACATCGAAACTCCCTTCTTTAATTCGTCCTCTTCGAAGTGAGTCACATACGTGGCAAGTCAGAGCTCACCCGAAATAGTAACACGTATACTATCTGCGTCAAATGAAACCCGTACAGCCATGTGCAGGCACGCATACATGCTCCAAGCTGCCGAATAAGATGCGCGCGCCTGTCAATTGTGATAACTGAACGGCGCGCACTATACCACCGCGAAGACCTGCCGCTGTTCGGGTTTCATTTGACGCTGATAGTATACATACGGTATATGGTAAGAAGAACTTTTATTTGAGGATCCCAAAAAGGGCCACCTCTTAGGGCGTCACGACGATATAACGCGAGAACAGAACGACAACACAGAGACAAGAAGGACACGAAGGACACTTGTCTGTGTGTCCTTCGTGTGTCACAGAGACAAGTGTCACAGAGACAGGTGTCTCTGTGACACTCGTTTCTGTGTCGTCGTTCTGTTCTCGCGCTATAACTATCGTCATGTCATACCAACTAGCCCGAACTGCCACACTTCTTTGGACGTCACCGCAGGCCGTTTCCATACGGGGACAGTTAGACACTCCTTTTCTTTTCTTTTTTTTTTGTCGAGTGTATACAAGAATGAGTTTGAGCAGTCCCGATCGATTTTCAAGCTCAAACGACGCTTTCCATCCCATGATTGCCCCACGTACAACTCCTCCATCGGTCGTTGTTTTTTCCAAAGGCTGCAGCGACGACCTCCACCTTTCCTCCACGAAGAAGGAATACCGCGAACGAGTGGCAAGCAGCGTTGCTTACGTATTTCGTCGAGCTCGAAGGCGACTTGGCTAGCGCGCGTGGGGTCCGTAATCTGCTTAGAGTGAACACAGCTTACAGTTGAGCTCCTCAAGCACGCAAAAAAGAACAGAGAAAAAAGTAAGGCCACGGCTGTTTTTCTCGCAATAGCGTTCCTCTATAGGATAACAGGTTCAATGATACAAGCCTTAGTTTTTCTTTAGTTATCTTTTCACTGACGTAAGCACATTTAGTTGACCGAAACCTCAGGAATAATTACCACCGCGTCTGTAAAACGCTCGGAAGGTTATCTGCTAGTGGCGGATCCCGCGGGGTATTGTCTCTGTGGTAGAATAAACGGAGCGGAAAGAACTCTCAGTCATGCACTACCGCCTACTCCCAGTACTTCCCGACCAAAACATACCCTATGAATGGCGACAAAGACAGAAACTCACGTATACTCGTGTAATCTGAGACTCAATAAACATGAGCTGTATGACCAGTTCAAATCAAGGCTTCTCAATTAATTGAGAAACCTTGATTTCAGCTTGGGCCCTTCAGCTCCGGAAGACTGGACGCCAACCATCTCCATTTTTTTATGGATTCTTTCCCACAGAGGATGACTTCGAGTATTGTTTACAATTCTATTGTAAAAAAAATACACAATGAATGTATAAATAAACTGGACAGATGTTCAGAGGATGATGGTGGTTTGAGGTACGTTCTCCGTTGAATTTCTCGGTGGAGGAGGGGCGAAAACCCTATGGCACTAGAAGTTGCATCATAGCGCATTAATCTATACCGTCGTTTATCTGCAACGGTATACACATCTCAGCGTCAGAGTATGGCCTCCAGCTATCCCTTTATTGGGGCGACTTTTTTCTTGGCTTCAGTTTTCTTGAACGTAATCTTAGATTTCTTAGTCATTGTCTCAATCGACGGCGTACTTTCCCATCCTTACGTGGTTGACAAAATAGCCAGCTTGGAGAAGACGATATGCGGCGCAGGTAAGAAGCAGAATATTGAGCGGTCTGAGCAATATGGCGGTCGGACGAAAAGCTAAAAGGCATCTAAAAGCTCTCTGAAATAGTCACAACGCATGCGAGACCAGGGTATATTACTCGCTCGATGTGAGTTACGTGGCAATTTTCGCAGACCTGAACACGAAAGATGTTTAAAGCACAACGATTTCATTGTATATTCTCACTTGTCGACGATAGGAGGCGTTATGCAGACTCTTTAACGTTACGCGGACAGGTAAGACTATAGACCCTGTCCTTTAAGTTGGCAGCTTAGATTGCCTACGAGCTGTTTACGTTGACTGTCTAGAATAAAAACGCAACCATGCATAGCCGACTTTTGTTGGCTTTAATTTCTTGTTATAAATGCTACACGCATACAGACACATCGTTTCGTCTGTAAAGTAAATGACACAACCCACGTTGACGAAAACAAAAAAAAAGAACGGGTGCGCTCTTTTCTGTGTCCTCCCCCCACCCCTCACCCCCTTTTTCTTCATCTACGTGCGTTGCGTTTTTCACCTTTCTTCAGAGGATTCAACCGATTGGAGACTAGCCAGGTGACAGCGTTATAAACGAAATGTGTGCTTTCGTTCATAAGTTGCGCACATTATCGCTGAAAAAAAATAATGTTTTTATTTCAACTCTCTTAGATACTTAAGTGACATTTTTATTGTTATAATTAAAACAATTTCAAGAATGCGAAAATAATAACATTTCCACTTTTGGGGGCGAGGAGGGGGGCTTCTTTGCTGATGATTACTTGCTTGATAGCTCGGTAGCACCTCGCATCTGTGGTGCTGCCTAGGGGCGGTCT